ATTTTGGTATGTTTTGTTTAAATTAAACATTCCCATAAATACTGTTTTTTTTAATTTTTGTTTGATCAACTGAACTTGTTATTAAATGGGGTAGGGTTGTTAACTCAGGACTCAAAACTCTGAATTCAGGGAAAATCCAAAACAACAACCCAGGTTGCAATCTCCTGAGTTGCAGAATTTTGTACCAATTGCAGACACCAACTTTGTTCTACGGGTTGGGATGTTGCAAAACAATCATCACATGAATTTCAACTCTCATCAGCAATCAATGCCCATATGGTAACAACCAACCTGGTCTGAGAGGGAGATAGGGAATGTTTTGTCCAAAGCCTTCCAGCATGTGATGGACTTTACCCATAGGAAAAATCCCATGGTTATAGAGGGTATTTGCATGTTTGTGATAGGAAATTTTAATTAAATCTGACACCTGACATCAACATCATATTTATTATTCATAAAGATCCATAATTGAAATAATTTATTTTGCGAATCCCAGAGATCTGAGTAGACTCACATTATTAAAAGTTTCATTTTTGCATAGCCTTGGTATTATTACTACTTGGTTTGTTATGTTAATGATGATATCAAATGTATTGAATAATAATCATGACTATCATGAATATTTGATGGATGGAGGCATTCACATACAAGAAAATGAAGGAAATGATTAAATAGCTAAGTCATGTTTGTTTTATTAAAGACATATGATTAATTGTATTTAAAATATGTAATAAAAAAATTGCAAGGCTGCACCACTGTGTCAATCAAGCTATCAAGCTGTTATGTTTGTGCATGATTTAAAATTCTTTTGTGCTAATTTAGAGTCCTTTGCTTATATATAATCTATTGGTTCTCTCTTTATTGGTTGAATGATGTCAAATTGGGTAATGGGATATCAGTAAATATCAGAATATGATTATTCTTTAAAGATATTGGCATACCAATAAGTTAATAATATTCTTAGTATTTTTATCATATATTCTAAAAGCCTATTAATAAATGTTGAAAGTGCCGATATTTATCAGATATTCTTCTAAAATTAATACTATTTTTTAATTAATTATTGGCTTAATTAAATGTAATTAAATTATTGGTTAAATATTTCTAAAGCTCTTTGTGCTAAAATAATATCATAATCTGAATAAAACGAATAATGCAAATAAAGCAATTAAAATGAATAAAAGCAAATAAAATGAATAAAAGCAAATAAAACGAATAAAGCGAATAAAACGAATAATAATAATGAATAAACGAATAAAACGAATAAAATCGAATAAAACGTACATTTAGAACTCGTTAAGACAATGCTTTGATAAACCGATGTTGTTTTATATTAAATTTACCTCAATAAGCCGATTTTATTAAGGTTTTTTAAATCGAAGTTTTTTTTCGAAAATATTGACTTCGGTTTAACGAGTTCTGACCGTATTACGAATAGAAACCATGCATTAATACTAAAATCAAAAAAACAACAATAAATAAACAAACAAATAGCTTTTATTGCGAAATAATTGAATTTGTTCCTTTATGGAATTGATCACACAAGTAATAGTCAATTTAAATAGCATATTTAATGTATAAAGTTTAATGATTTTTAATGTTGCATTTTTTTGATACATCAATCTCAGTCCAAATCTTTTATTTCTTTTTTTTGATAAATAACAAATTTATCCTTTGTTTAATTGTTTTAGTAGATTCAAATAGATTTTATTAAATCAATGGTACATTACAGCAAAATTTTCAGAGAACCCAAAGTGTATCAATTACACGAAAACATACTATTAAGTTAACTTATTACAAAGTCACTTTTAAAGTACAGCGAATTCTTGTTCCTTATATCATGTTTAATTAATTAATATCCCAGCCTGGGCGAATTATCCCATTTGGGATTATTTTCGTTAATACCTTCCAAATATATAATAATAATACGAAATACCAAAATAAAATATACACGAATACAGATATTTTTAATGTTAATATATTATTAATATGGTTGGCTCGGTCTAAAGACCCATATTGCTGCGCCACGTGCTTAAATTTCAAAAAATTGCGATTTCGTGATTCGTTCAAAAATGCAATAATATTAATATCAAAGATTTTTTTAAGTTCCCGGATCATTATAAGAACATGCGTTAGTATTATCTTGTCTAATGCTAATGCAAGCAAGTTTTTACTTGTTTTTATAGATTGCATGGCATACGTAACACAAATAATGATTCAAAAATGCATAGATTTCAAAGAAAAAATATAAAGTTTTTCTCCCCTTTTAATCAATTTCGTCATTACCATAATAATAGAATCTGCGGCAACAACATCAAACTATCTTTTTCTTTAAAAAACAAACAAAACATGACTAGTAATAGTAGTACTTCTGATGGAACTTCAATTAAAGTATCAGAAAAAGTTTCTCATTTTAAACAAGATGGTGATTTTTTATTTTCTTTTAAAAAAATAAATTATTTTACTTAAATTGATTGATAAAATTTTTTTATTAACAAATCATTCATTATTGTAATTGCTATAATTACTGTGTGATGATAAGTATGGTCTATTTTCACACCCTTGGCTGCAAGACTTAATGCTGTAAACTTGGGACAAGGTTTTATGAAGTAAATGAAATTATATGCGCTATCAATTTGTTTTTAATTATCAAGTAATTTTATTTAAACACATATATATGTATATTTACAAGTTTTCCACCTCCAGATTTTGTAAAGGAAGCGGCTAAAGATGTTTTACTTTATCAAGATAGTAATCAATATAGGTTAATTTTTTCTAATACATTATCTATCTGAACATTATAATTATAATCATATATATTCACAATTACATAATCATCAATTTTTCTTTTTAAAAAAAAGTCATCCTAAAGGTAGAATTCGTTTAAGGCAAGCATTAGCAAATACTTATGGGCCTTTATTAAACAACAGAACATTGGATCCCGAGACTGAAATTGTAATTTCTGCTGGCGCAAATGAAGGACTTTATTCTATTTTTGCAGGATTTTTGGATGAAGGTGATGAAGTAATTTTGATTGAACCTTTTTTTGATCAATATATTGTAAGAATATATGTATTTATTTATTTTGTATTCGTATGTATACTGTATGCATATATTTTACTAAATGTAATCACATATATATATTATTATTAAGTCAAATATTACAATGAATGGTGGCGTACCAGTCTATGTGCCATTAAGACCGCAAGGTGACATCATTAATAAGGTGATTTCTTCAGCAGATTGGAAATTGGATTTTAATGAATTGGAATCAAAAATCACAAAAAAAAGTAAAATGATTGTTTTTAATACTCCTCATAATCCTGTTGGAAAAGTTTTTTCTATTGATGAAATGATGGAAATTGCTAAAATTGCTCAAAAACATAATTTGTTGGTTATTAGTGATGAAGTGGTAATTATTGAAATAAATAAATTTAATAATATGTACATTTACACACACACACACACACACATTATTAATAATGATAATTTATAAAAATTGACAATTTTAATTTATAGTATGATAGACTTTATTTTAAACCAGATGTTCATGAACGCATTGCCAATCTTCCAGGAATGTGGGATCGCACAATAACTGTTGGAAGTGGAGGTAAAACTTTCGGTGTTACTGGTTGGCGTGTTGGATGGTCGATAGGACCAGAAAAATTGATAAAGACTGTATTATCTGCACATACTAGAATTGTATTTTGTGTAAATTCACCACTTCAGGTATATTATTGAATCTATTTTTTTAAAAAATAAAACTTATTTTATTAAATAAATAAGTAATTAATAATAACATTAACAATAATATCTTTTTTAAAAAAAAAGGAAGCACTGGCTATTTCTTTAGAAAAAGCTGACGAGTCAAATTATTATGAAGAAAATTGTGAACAATATAAATTACGTCGTGAAAAATTAATGAATGCACTATCTGATGCTGGATTACCATATACAATACCACAAGGAAGTTATTTCATACTAGCCAACACCTCAAAAATCAACATCCCATCAGACTTTGAATACCCAGAAGTCATACAATCCAGGACAAAAGATTATAAAGTTTGTTATTGGATGGCAAAAGAAATCGGTGTTGTGACAATTCCGCCTAGCGAGTTTTATTGTGATGAGAATAAATGGATGGCTTACGATTATGCTAGATTTGCTTTTTGTAAAACTGATGAAACTTTAGATCAAGCTGCTACAGCATTGAAAAAATTAAAGAAATATATTAAAGAATAAATTTGTTTTTTTTGCTTATGAATTGTTATTTTATTATATATGTAAAATATTTTAGGTGCAAAATTTTTGGGGGAATTGATTATATATAATTTTAGTATTTAGGATGAATCTGATTTATCCAAGGGAATTTGTAAAATCATTTGCCATTGAATGTAGATCAATATTATACAATAAAAACAATCACGTGCCAACTAGCACTATATAGGTAAGATGACGATGATAAGCTTGGTTCTAAAAATTTTTTAAGAGTTGTATAATGTGAATTATTACTATCCAAAATTTTTGTGGATAGGATATTTTCTCTATTTCAACTATTTATTTTTGACATTATTATTATTATCTGTTAGATTGATAGTTTCACAAACTTGTGAAAAAATTTTTTTTTCATCAAACTCATATTAATATATGTTGCATGAATTTTGTTTACCTAATGCCTTTAATATCTTGTTAGGCGGTAGTTTTTTTTTGACTTCATGACTAGGACTTTAAAATAGTATACCAATAATAAGAATATCATTTTTTTAAAAAATAATGCCTCAAGAGACAAAAAGAAACCGGTTGTGACAAATATTTTGGGTAAGTATTTTAAGGATGGTGGTGGTTATCACTTGCCACTTGCCGTCACTCTAGCTCAATATTTAATTTCTTGATGTAATTAGAAGCGATGCTCTTGAACCTAAACCTTCAAGAATTCCAATTCTGAATAAGGTGAATAATATCAATTAAGTAGTGGGGGAAAGTTTCGAAATCACATCATCCTACTTATTACCACAATCATCCTCCTCACTGTTGCAACAACTCTTTCCTTCACCACCACTATCTATGCTCTTCGTTCCCTCCAAATATAATAGACAAGATTAAAAAAATTTTTTTATAATGAAAATTAATTATCTAATAAATTTTTTGTTGAATTTATTGCGGGTTAACTGGATCTTATTTTGATGATCAAGAAATTCTGAATGCTTCTGTATTGGAAACAGATGAAACTGAAGCAGAAATCCATGCTAAAGAAACACCTAATTGGGATAAATGGATATGGCCTTCTGAAATTTCTGGAAAAGAAGTTCTCTATAAAGCCAGTTCCGAAGCAGAGCATTCACTAATGTTAGTCTAATTTAAACATTAGAGGTATTTTTGTATTTTCTTTTGTAAATACTTAAAAAACTTTTAATTTTAGGCCAGAAAAATTTAGTATAATAAGATGCGGAGGAGGAATTGTATGCCCAAAATGGATTTTGGAAGATGACTACATAATGATACAATCAATTTGCACACCATTTGTATCACGTCTTGATGAAGAAGCACAGGAATTTTTGATAAAAATAATTTTAAATGAAGTAAGTTTTTTTAAGTGCTTTAATTAGTTTGTTATTTTATTTACATTTGTGATCTATAAGCAGCAAACCAAAGCTGAAATACGGGCAACAATTTATTCTACCACAATGATATTAAAAACGATGAAATCTGATCAACTTATTTTTTTTCTCGAGTGATCAATCAATTGTGAGCATTTGTATATTAAACATACAAAAAAAAATTTTTTTCAGATACAACTAGAGTGGTGAACAACTAATGAGAATTTTTCTACTTGTTCATTGCAGTAATGAACTTGTATTTTCCCCGAATTCAGTAATGTCAAGTGGAAATGCTTCTGAAGCAAGTTATGGTGGTTTTATCATCCACCCGACATTAATGTGGCTATTAGAAGGCTTAGAATCTCGTTTAAAATATGTACCGTAAGTTGTCAATCCTGTATAAATATATATATTATGTTTTCTCTGTATGATTGATTTTTCTCTACCTTGACTGGTTTTTTGCCTTTACAGTGGGGAAGTAGCATTGGATTGTATAGACTCGTGCAGATCACGATATAAACAATTGGATATTTCACAACTCTGTGATGGGGTATTTAAAGCTAGTAATCTAAAACTTGCACATTTAGAAATGAGTGGCGGGCATGGTTTGATTGATAAACTCCGTTCAACATGGGATCATGTAAAAGGATTCATTGGTTATTTGTATATGTTAGATGAATTAGCATGTAAATATCCAAATGCAAATCCCGTTCTTTTCTGTTTGATTAAAGTATATTTTTTTACATACATTTGATAAGTGTTGGCTAGTTTCAATAATATCATTCAATTTGATTTGATCTATAAGGAATCAAAGGAACCAATTTCAATCAGAATTTTTGATCCTTTTTTTAAATCAAACACCCAATGAAAGTAAAAAATTTGTTCCCAAAAAATTATTTTTATCCTAATGATAATGGAATTATCATTGTCTATGTCATTGTCATATCATTGTCATATCCTTGTCCATGTCCTATTAATTCTTAAGAAATCAGTTCATTCCCGTGAAACTCTGATTTATTTTTTGGGTCAGGCCGGTTTTATTGTTTTTTTATTAACACAAGTAAGAAATGAAACATTGCCGTGTCATGACCACCTTCCAAAATCAGTAGGGCGAGCGACCTTCGTGCAGGTTTCTCGCTGATTGTCTCCTTTTGCGTTTAGCCGCGCTTGGTTTTTTCAGCTTTTGGCACGATCAACATTTTCACCATATTTGGCGAAATTGTGTCGTACGGCAAATGTTTCAAGCGTTGCATCCAATGCTTTGCAAGGTGAGGAGAGGCATGATCAATGAACCAGAAAAGTTAAATCTTTTTCAAACCTAATTTTTTGGGAAAGAATTTTTTTTTTCGTTGGGTGGTAAATTTCAAAAAAAAAAATCTTTATTTTTCTGAAATCATCTGTGATTCTTTCAACATCAGTAAACATGTTGCCATTCTCCCACCAAAATTTATCAGAATCTCTGATTTTAGTAAACTATAAAATAAATTTAATAAAGCACAAATGAGTGGGTGTGTTGATGAGTTAGTGATTAATGAAAATAAAGGCTACCTGAGTGAACATACTAATGCTCATTAATTCACCAAAATTTGATCCATCCAAATGATCTTCAACTATTGCACCAACGAAAGTTTCTAATTGATTAGGTCCATTAGGATACAATTGTTGCAGATAATCTTGTAATATTTTAACTGATGTTATCCCTTGCCAAGTTTTCTTTGTTGTTAGCCCATATGCTTGACGAGCATCATTATACAAAGCAATTCCTACAAAATTTCAAGTCTTTTTTCAAAAAAAATATTCATGTTTTTACATGTGCATATTAACATACATAAAAATGCAGTTGTCATACCTCTGTCTCTGGCTCTTAAAACATCAAAAGCTGCAATATCATAAATACGCGGTTCAATGGTTGTAGCATTTCTCATAGCATCGGAATAATAAATATCCAATTCTTCTTGATGTTGTAGGGACATTGATCTCAAAATCTTTTCTATTCCAAATTTTTCCAACAATTGAATTTGTAAAATGTTATCTAATGTTAGATCTGCAAGCAATTCTCCAAATTCATCTTGTATATGATAATTATTGCTATCATCAATAATAAATAACGTCAATAATTTATATAATTAATGATTATAATTAGAAAATTACATGATAATTGATTGATTGATTTACCCAAGTTCGCTGTGAACATATTTGAATGTTATTGTTGCGAAGAAAAGATCAACTCCTGGTACTAGATTCTCATTATATTGTTGATATGGTGGCAATGGTTTACCAAGAATGATGCCAAGGTACTCTTCGGTTACTACTTTTTGATAAAATGCAATATTCCATTTTCTCTAATTAAATCAAATATAAGATAATTGTTAATAGATTGTTATAATAATAATCATCTCAAACAACTTTAATTGATTGCTTACAGCCTCTTCAAAATATTGATCATCGGTCCACGAATCACCATGATCATCATAAAATTGATTACACAATCTATTATGTTCACGCATCCAAATGATCTGAATTGCAAGTGTGAAAATATTATTTGCTCGATTAAGAAATCCTCCGATCATATCGCTAGTCGGATAATTCATTGGATAATTTTTCCCATCCATCTTTAATTTTCCTCGGTTACC